CCATTTGTCTTTGCTTTTCACCTGGTTAACTGTGACATCTTCTACGGCCTTCTTGGCCTTCTTGTTACAAGTCAGCTCCACCTCTCCGAGAACCCAAACACATCTTTCTGACAGCCCTTCTCAGCTGTACCTGTGTTGTATTCCAAAGACCTGTTTACTTCTCTGACTGCCCCCATGAGATGGTAAACTCCTTATGAAATCATGCGTTATCGATTTATTTTCATATCCCCAGAGCCCAGGGCAGAGCTGGCTGCCTCTGAAAGAGGGAAAGCAGGCTCTCATATAATTAGTGCCTTCCTTTACAGTTGACTTCCCCAATATCATGGTCTTCTTTGGTCATTATTTGCCAATTTACTCACTTTCTGTGCTCTAATATCCTTGTTATAACTTGGAAACACATGGCTTTTGCTCGCCATTCATTGGCTCAACAAAAACTTATCAAATGTCTACTTATGTGCCAGAAACTGTTATAAGCGGTGTGAACAAGATAGGTCTCTGATATCAAAGTACACTCTAGATAAGGGAGACACGCACAGAGAAAATTATCAGATGGTGACGGGTGCTATGTAAAGAACGGAAAGGGGGGATGTGACAGCAAATGATCTGGTCACCCTTCTAAGCAGGCATCTGTTGAGCTAAGACATGAGGGGAAGAGCCTTTAGGTGGGCTGACGAGGAAAAAAAAGGGGTGGTACAAACTGGAGGGTGGAGAGGACGGGGCCAGGAGTGAAAGAGTTGGGGTTCTATTCGAAGTGCAGAAGGAAGCTGTAGGGCACATTAATTTCTCATTTTCTCTGGTTTCTGTTTAAATGTCATCTCACTCAAAAGGCCCTCACCGACCACCCTATTAAAATACAACCTCCCTCCAATTCGGTCCTGCTTTGGCCCTTCTCCATATCCTTACCCTACCAAGCCTTTCTTATTTTTCAAGGTTTTTAGTATGATCTGATGTCATACGATGGATGACTTTCTACCCACCAAACTGTGAGCAAGGGCTTTAGATTTCACAGCCAGACTCTAAATGGCTAGAACAGGGCACACAGTCAGCTTTCAATTGAAATGTGTTGAGTGAATGAATTAATCTGATTTACATTTTAAATAGATCACTCTGGCTGCTGTGGGGACAATGGATTTGAGGGAGTCGAGAGTCAAAATAAAGAAACCCCATGAGGAGGCTTTCCTAGAGGTCCAGATGGAAGTCAAATGTGGAAGAAGAACGGTGAGAACTACCACTGTGGTGGTTTTAAAAACCATACAATGTCCCTTGGTCTTAGAAAATTAGCGTGATACCATGTCCTCAAAGTAATAACTCAGGAGTTGCTTTCTTCATGTAGGGGTATGAGCTCATAAAAACAGATATCTTTTAAAGCCGTTCAGTCAAGAAATTAGTCTTAGGTACTTATGTTACCAAGATAAAACTGATAAACTGATACAGCTTGACAAAAACCTATTAATACTAAAAAATGCACATGCCCCTTATCTTACCAATTTCATGGGTATTGAATTTATCATGGGTATAAGTCACAAAAGTATGTCAAAATATATGCACGGATGTTCGCCCTGTCATTGCTTGTAATATCCCCAAACTAGAAATAACATAAATACCCATCAGTAGGAAACTGTTTAAAAAATACTTTAAAAAATTTTATACAGTTATTTAATAAAATGAGAAAAGAGCTTTAAGATGTATGTTTAGAAAGATTCTATTTTTGTTAAAATACACATAAACAAGACTGATATTGATATGGGTACAATATGACATATACAGAGAGAAGGGGAAGGAGAGGTAAATATTGATCTAAGTAAAAAAGTTTTCTTTTCTTAAAGATGTATAAAAAAAAACATAAGAGGTGGTTATCTTTTATCCTTTGAAGAGGGATAATGGGTAGAGAGAGAATTTTACTTTCTTTCAGAAATTTTAAATGTTACCAAAAGAGGGAGGGGGCTCTGTTTACAGGGTTCACTGTATCTGCTCTAAACTATTTCTAACCTCAGGAATGTGAAATGTTTACCACATTCAATTTTTTTTTTTCAGTTGTAAATGTATTTCTAAAGCAAGAGTTCTAATTACCATTTACTGGGAAGTCAGAGAATAGTGGGGTATTTTGCAAGTCAATTCAGGAGAAAAATAGAAAGCCAGGTTAAGTCCAATTTAAGTGAGGTTAAGCACTGCAGCCTAAACACACAAGACACAGCCCACCGCTCCCCTCACCAGGGTCCCGCATTGTCATGTTAACGACAGCAAACAAAAGGACCAAGGGAAGGGGAATGAAGATTACCCGTCCCAACTAAAACTAGGACAGAGTCCTCTTTTGAAAGACCCAGGTGGAGGGACACATACCAGGTTTAAAAGTATTAGGTCTCTTCATGTCATGTGCATTTTTTTCTACCTAACCAAGACAGGAAACAGTGAAAAGTTTTGTTACTAAAAAGTGTGATTCTGAAACAAAAACATAGTAAACTACACAGGAATACGAAAGCTGTGATGCCCCTAAAAGGATGGATCTTGAATTGCTAAAGTGACCTCTGACCTTGGAGGGGTGGGTTAAGATGGGTGAGCACGGAGAAGGGCTCACGAGAACCCAAACCCGAGGCTGGAAGCTGATTCATCTTTATTGCCTCCCTAGGTTATCAGTGAGGATATCAGTGAGGATAACCTAGGGAGGCAATAAAGATGAATCAGACTGAACGGAGAAGTGAACTCTACAGAATGAATTCTTCCAGGCTCATGGATCTCAGCGGACTTAGCGATGACACCAATGGCCAGCAGAAAGGAGGGAATTGCTAGGTCACTCTCTTGCAATGAAACCAAATTTCCAGAAACTCAAAGTGTTAGCGACTTCAACGGGTAATTACCAATGCACCAAATGCTGCACCAAGCCCCATGGAATGCCTCTGAACTAGATTAAACCACCAGGCTAGTAATTAAACTAACTTTATATGGAAGAGATCTCGTGCTCAAACTTGAGCAATCCTGCTCACTTCAGGAAAGCAATTTTAGCACAAAAGTGGAAACAAGAAACTTCTGAGCCTCAATTTCAGCTCAGATACCATCGCTGGCAGCCTCTATTCTCTTAACTACAAAAATCAGGAGACCAACTACTTCCAGGGGGTGTTAAAGGGGATTAAGATTATGAAATACTGTGAAGATGAAAAGGACTAAGTCTCAGTCTTGTATCATTTGCAAGTATTTTAACAGTCTCTGTTTCTGTGTCGGCAAACAAGTTTTTACCATTTTATCCATCTAGACATTTCGATAGCAGTCACTGCCATATGTACCTGAAGTGTTTTTACCAGACAACCTGTTGAAAGACTGCTTGGCATCTTGTCAAAATGACATGCTGCTACATCATGTTAGAGTCTGCAAAAGCCTAAAAATTTAGAAAAGGAGATGATTTTTCTTCAAATTGATCAATGCTATGACAACACTGTTTACTTCTTACAGCTGGATAATAATTTGGTAAATGAAACAGCTAGAACATTGCGTTCTACCGCATACTCACAGACTGAGTATTTTAAGTGCTGCTTTTAAAAATGAGCATGTTTATTCCAAAACATTACAGATAGCTACATATAAGGCAAGCTTCTGCCTTTCTTAAAAATAATCCCAGAAAAGAGGGTGTCACATTATATTTGATCTTTACGAAGTCAGATCATGGGGTACTCTTCTAATGACTTGACCTTGAGAAGTACAGAGTACCATTTGGGAAAGGCAGATCTGCCTGAAACAACCTTAGTTACTACTACCACCAGATGTTTATCAAGCTCACCTACAAAAGTTGAGTTAAAAAGAAAAGGGTAAAAAAAGTAGGAGATCCTGGGGGTAGGATCTCACAAATGCTGTGTCAAAACAAGGCATTTAAAGTTCCCTCTAAAAAGCAATATGACAGGTTGTTACACTATGAGACTCATTATATCCATTTAGGATGAATTGGGCATAAGAAAAAGGAAAACAACCATCCTAACATTATGTTTCTGTGGGATAAAATGCCAGGGCAATACTGCATGTGCAGTCCAAAAGTGCTTCATTTTGCCAGGTCGGGATGAAAACGAGATGATGTACTCTTGTAAAACTATGCGAACAGTTGATTCAAAAAGTAGATTACGTGTCGATCAAGACAAGGATTCAAAATTAATATGAGGAATCTGAATCAAATATTGATATGTGTGTATAGGAAAACGCAAAATTAATTTTATATAATATGATTTTACACCATTATGTGCAGAATAAATGAAAACTATCATAAGTAGACATTTGACTAGTCATACTATATCTTTAAGGTTTACTTATTCAAGTTGGTCATAAAATATATTTTTTAAATCTTTCCATTGAAAAATAGTGAACACATTATGTTTGATACAGCCTTATAGCTGGGCATTTATGAAGCTAATTCTAGTATATTCTATTACCACTTCTTTAGTAGAAAAGTGTGAATAAAAAGTTTTAAGTATTTCTTAAAAGTCTGGTTTTGTAATCAGTCTGAAAAACTATTTTCTAAATGAAAAATGGTTAAGATTCCAAATAGTTATGACAAGGCATACATATGGACAGGGCCAGAATGTATAGGATCAGAAAATAAATTCCACATCTGGTGTGGGCTTCTCCTTAAACTGAGCTCAGCATATTTCCCAAAAAACAGTGCCCTGTGATCTTCACATCTATCATTCCTAGAGGATGACACTGAGAATTAGGTTTTTATATCAATAACAAACTCAAATAAAGCTCCAGCCAGTGTTGCTGCAAAGAACTGTGCACAGAACAAGGCTAGTGGGCGTAACTCACGTCATAGTCATCCTTGATTTGTGTATTTCTAGAGACAAGTTTTTTGGCAGATGGCAGGAAGGGGCACCTCCTTCTAAATGGCATGAAGGTACCCTATGGGCGCCTGCAGAACGTCCACTCCAGGTATAAAAACGTGAGGAACTGATTTCATGTTGATGAACAGTTACTAATTTAGGAGATGAGCCTATACACAAATAAATGGCCAAAAGGAAAGTTACCTTGTAGATTCCGAAGAACCCCAGGTCCCTCAGGACAGACAGAGCACTGACTCGGGGACCGGTGGTGATTTCCCCAGCTACCTGCAGACGGATCTTGACAATTTCCAAAGGATTTGTGAAAATCACCTGGGAGCCTCCTGCCTAAAAAGGAGAAAAAGATTCAGTATTAAAGCAGAGTAACAGTCATTATTCTCAATGGAGCTTAGACTATTCTATCCTCGAGAGACTGTAATTTCAATCCTTGTCCCATCAATTAAAAGTTAGGGATCAGGAGTTTCAATCAAAATACAGTTACTGCCTAGGACACGTTTGGTAAAGGGGCCCAATCTCTTTCATGCAGAGATTGAAAGAAGAGAAAGACCAGAAACAGAGACTTCTTTGCCAAAAACAGAGACTTCTGTTGGCCTCACCAAAGTCCTCGCACTAAAATGACGATTCTTTGAAGCAAAATCAACTGCCACCACAAGGCTCAAAGCCAAGAACACAGAGGCAACAATAAAATGAAAATCAAACAGTATCCAAATAAAGAGATACAGATCTGCCTGTCAGAATAGGAGAGGACAGGAAGACACAGGTTCTCCCACCATGAACTTCGTGATTCTGTCCATGATTCAAAAACTGCCAGAAAACATGGAAACTAAGATGAAAGCTATTTTTCTCTTAAAAAAAAAATCAGGCTGATCATCAAACACCATTTTCTGAAGTTACATATTATTATAATTTTATTTATGTATTACCTGTGTATAGAATTGCTCTTTTCATATAAGATAAATGTCAAAGTAGTAAAAATATGCATTAAATCAATTATGGCCCAAACTTTGAACAACGTGTGTTATTTCATTCCAGCAATGGCTGGGTGCCATACCTCCGAGATCATCAGTGGAAATCTTTAAAGTGCACTATAAGGGAAATTTTAAGCTACGTATTTTGAAGCTAAGCCTATATTTATCATAAGCAATTACATTTTTTCTTACTGTACTTCAACTTGTTATTCCTTGTCACAAATATATTAAAATTTTTGTATCATTCAAACTAAGGTTGACACACAGAATCTTTATCGTGTAGCGACTGCACCAAACCGGACCACAGACATAGTAATGACATTTTACAGCTTAGTAGATGCTATCAAGGTAAAAGGCACAATTTGGGTCAATGTCATACAAAACTACTTCTTGTTAGGTCCTTTGATCTTATTAACTAATGTATGCATCCTCATAAGGATGGTCTTTTAAGTACTGTTTATAATATCTGGAAATAACAATTAGAAACACATAAACATCCAATGGTAAGGAATAGATTAAATGAATCTGAGTATGTTTGTACAATGGGTTCTGTGCCTCCAATAGAAATACTGTGGAAAATGTTCAATAGATACTGTGAAGTAAAAACTCTCATATGATTAAATGCACGTACATCCTTCCCTCGGCTGTCTCTCAACACAGTGTGGAAGAGATACACCAGTGTAGTGCTTCTGAGGTGGTAGAATTACAAATAGTTTATTTTCTCTTCTGTTGTTTTTTTAAAAATTTCTTCTCGATAGATCATGTGTTACTTCTATAAGGAAAAATAAATACTTCTGCATAACTTATCTAACATATATAGAAATGTTAACCAAAAACAACAACAACAAAAACTAAAGAAAAATGTTCGCCCACTCTTTAAAACTAATTTTTTCCGTTTGTATTAACTTGACACTTCAGTCAAAATACACTAGTTCTTAAAAACAGACTGAGATTTGCTCTCGCTTCACTCATTAAAACTATTTGGAAGGCACAATTTTCCCACGGCTAGAGGCAACACAGACTTCCTCTCCTTACTTGCTTTTACCCTGTTTCACCCATCACCTTTATCTCTCCTAGGTGACTCTTAGGAGGTGGGCCAAATAATCTTGGTAGAGAAAACCTGAGTTGGATATGTCAAAAGGCCTAAGAGAGGTCCTCCGAAGTAATTTGTGGGTTTGCACTGGAGCCTTTCCACATGGCATGGAGCGAGTTGTTTAAGGGTGGCAGAGTAAAGAGGGGAAACGAGCCTGGTGTCCTGACGGTGCTAAGGCACAGTAAGGATTATGTTCGTGCATCTGGACCTAAACTCTCGAGTTGCAAAAATGAATAAAAATTAAAAAATTCTTTTGTGGAGACAGAATTGCTCAGATTCACTGAGTTGGAATTAGCCTGAGGCTGATTTTTGAAAGCTTGCAAGTGGTAAGACTATGTCTACCAAGGGCAGAATGGAAAACATTCAGCGTACATCCATCTTCTCGCAGAACAGAACAGGAATATGATGCCAACAGCGGGTAAGGGGGCAGCGCACATGAAGACCAACCCTCAGCCCCTATTTGTCAAACCATCTCACTCATTAGGAGGATCAAAGACATAAGTGAATATATTGCAGCCAGCACCATGCTCAAGATACAGCAGTGACTCCAAACATGCTGGTTTTGTTTCCTCAAGCCCCTAAATCAATGGTTCTCCTCCCTGGCTGCATGTTACAATCACCTGAGAGCTTTTAAAAAGTAGTGACGTCTAGACCCTACTCCAGACAAATTAAATGAGAATTTCTGCAATCTTTTTTTGAAAAGTTTTCTCATGTGATTAAAATTTGCAGTGAGAGTTGAGAATCATTTTATCTCACCATATCTTCTCTAGGATCCCTTTCAATTCCAAGAAGTTGCTTGATAGGCTTATTTAAAGCTGTGAGTTCTAATTCTAGTCTTCTGCATTCTTTCAGAGAGTAACTTCCATATGTTTTACATGTGATCTCATAAGAAACTTTTTATATACATCCAAGTTACCACTTTTAAAGGGTATAATTCTTAGGTATAGAATTGTTGTCTTATTCATTACCTCATATCTTTGCCAATACCTGTAAAAGTTAACATTATATACAATAAGAACTTACACTCGACTTTCTAACTCCAAGTCAATTGATAGTTACCAATTCTTTTAGCACAGAAAAGTGAATTCTAATCACTAAAGATGATGCAAAAGTCGAATCCACTCCGGAGAGCTGCAGGGAACAGAAGCAGTGGGAAGAAAGAGCATAGTGATTCTAGGAAAAAATAATGATGTGCTCGTTACCTTTAGTGGGCTCAGAAAGAAAGAACCTACAGACTAAAAGTGGCACATTGTAGAGGTGCCGAAAATGAATGGGTCCTTTGGAGTCAAGCTGGAAGGAAATGAGACTCCAAGGCACCAAGAGAAGATGCTTATCATCAGCTGCACGGTATCTGGGCATCGCCATGACCTGATCACTGAGCAGTACACTGCCTGCTGCTCCTCTGGCTCCTGGTCTATTATCCATTCATAGTACCTTGCCCAGGTCCCTTCTTTGCAGAGAGATCAAAGACAGCCAAATCTGTGGACAGGGACACCTATTGTGCTCGATGTCTTTGTGTCTTTCATCACTCGAGAGTTCTAGCTGTGTGAAGATACTGTTTTTTTGTGTGTGTGCAGTTTTGTCACAAATCATTTCCCTATGACTTTCTGGAGTCTGAGGCAAGTAGGACAGGGGAAGATTTTCCACACCAAAACTTGCTCTGTGTGGCATGTTATACTTACAATGGTAACACTGCCTTCTCTACAGGTCTCTTGGAATATCCTTTGTTACTGAACTCTTAGTCACTACCCAGCAACTGGATACCTAAAGAGAAATGCGTACACCTACTACAGACTTACTTCTGCTACTTGATCATTCATTCATTCATTCATCAAATGTTTATAAGCAATAGTGTTTAAAGTTTGTCCTTGGAACTGCAAGAACACAGACGAGTGAGAAAGCATTCTTGTTTTCAAGGAACTTGAAATAGGAGTAGAGGTAATAAATGTTCGTTAAGCGTCCATTATGGCCTATAAAGATATTGCTGTGTGTGTGTGTGTGTGTGTGTGTACACCACACACCTTTGATCCACTCAAGAGATCTTTTTCCAGATTTTATAGGAGAGGAAACTGAGGCATAGAAAGAGTAAAGCAACTGTTACAAGCTGAACTGTGCTCCACCACAATTCACCTATTGAAATACTAACCCTTAGGACTTCATAATGTGACTATATTTGGAGGTAGGGCCTTTTAAGAAGTAATTAAGGTAAAATAAGGTCATATGGTTGGGCCCTAATACAATGTGACTAGTGTCCTTATAACAAGAAGAAACTGAGATACATTCACATATGTCCTCCCCGTGGTCTCATGGGGACAAGGAGGGAAGATGGCAATCTTCAAGCCAAGGAAAGGGGCCTCAGAAGAAACCAACCCTCATGACACCTTCATCTCAGACTTCCAGCCTCCGGAGACGTGAGAAAATAAATTTATGTGGTTTAAGTCACCCAGTTTTTGGTAATCTTTTACGGCAGTTCTAGAACTAATATAGCAATTTATCCAGGGCTACACACACCTGACAAGCAGAGGATTTTCTACTGAGTCCAATAAATATCTACCTTATGAATAGAGAAAGTGACACATGAGAAAAGATAATTAAAATATATGACAAGAGGTAAGGTCCAGACAAATTGCAAGGGCAATTCAAAGGAGGGCCGAGATCTCTGCTGGCTAGGATAATGTGGGGAGGTAGTAAGGCTGGAAAGAACATAACACATCAGCTGGTGACTGGGGTGAAATTAGGATTTCCGTAATCCAGGCAGAGAATGGCACAAAGGCACAGTGACAAGGGCTTTGCATACTAAGGGGTGAACAGACCCAGCATAACATCCATCCAGTGAAATTTTAATAAGTGTGATAATTATGATGAGATTAACATTATCGTCCACTAACATTTATTGAGTACTTACTACGTTCACCAGGCATTGTGCTAAGAGCTTTGTAAGAATTTTCTCTTTGGGTCCTCATGATATCATAAGGTAGGCAGTAATATTATTTTGGTTTTATAAGCGAGCAAACCAAAGCTGAAAGGGGTGAAGGAGACAACTTGCCTGAGGTCACACAGCTAGAAAGATAGAGTCTGGATTCAAAGCTAGACCTGCTGGGTGCCAGAGCCTGAGCACTTTACACTACTTATCATAGCAGGATAGAGGAATTAACAGGACTATTCCTTTATGGAATGGAAAGGGTATGAAAGAGGATGTCTGCAAATAAGACTAGTGGGGCCAGATCATGGAAGGCCTAGTAGCGACCCTGAAGAACGGGGCGGCA